CAATGCTTTTATGAATAAGATAATTTATTAAACATTACTGAAGAGAAATCTCATTTGGGACAGGCATTTTGTTTTCTTTGAACTAATTAAGTAGCATTTCTTTCTTTTTTAAAAAAATTATTTCTGAGAGAGAGAGAGACAGTGTGAGCAGGGGAGGGTCAGAGAGAGAGGGAGACACAGAATCTGAAACAGGTTCCAGGCTCTGAGCTAGCTGTCAGCACAGAGCCCGACGCAGGGCTCGAACCCACAAACCGAGAGATCATGACCTGAGCCGAAGTTGGACGCTCAACCGGCTGAGCTACCCAGGCACCCCTTAAGCATTTCAATGTCCATTTATTGGCATAAAATTTATTGGGATCCTGTGTGAAATATGCTATTTCCTCCTGGTTGGGTGCTATGAAGCCCACACTAAGGAATCTGATAATGTCCTATAGGTATCATCCTTCCCTCTACCATGGTAGGGGCATCATGAGAATGCCAACATGATTCCAAGCTTAGACGATCACTGAACTTTTTGAGACCTTAGAAAAAAAAATTCTTATGGAAAATTTGAAATATATAAATAGAATAGTACAATGTCCCCATATGTTTCATCATTCAATTTCAGAAATTATAAACAGTTTGCCAGTCATGTTTCATATCTATCCCTTCCCATTTTACAGGGTGAGGGGGCTAACTGGTCATTTTTCATTAAAAAAATTTTTTTTAAGTTTATTTATTTTTGAGAGAGAGAGAGCACAAGCAAGGGAGGGGCAGAGAGAAAAGGGGACACAGAATCCAAAGCAAGCTTCAGGCTCTGAACTGTCAGCCCAGAGCACAACACAAGGCTTGAACTCATGAACCATGAGATCATGACCTGCGCCAAAGTTGGATGGTTAACCGACTGAACCACCCAGGCTCCCCTAACTGGCCATTTTTCAAAAAGCAGAATCAGAGGACCAGAGAAGGTGCTCACCAAAGCCCTTGGGAAGGTGAAGAGTCCTCCAGAAAGAAGTATTGTATACAGAGCTGGAAACTCAGACTCTAACCCTGCAGTGTAGAATGTCCTCTAGACCACGACAGTGTTTCAGAGCAGGATAGAACAGTATTTATGCTTTACTCTAGTGATGATTTCATTTTGGGGCCTTCTAGGGACTGCCAAATCAATGGAAGAGCCTTGGAGAGTGGAAATGGCAGAGGGTAGAGAGGGCCAGGCTCTCTCTCCTGGAAGCAAAGGAGGGTTGCCATGGAAAGTAGGAGGAAGATGATGTGCCTGAGAGCAGAAAAGGAAAGTCACTTATGCTGCGAGGCCACAGGAGAGTTGAATCCACTGGAACAACATTTGCCATCCTGTGAAATTTCCAATATGGTGCTCCAAAGACTTTCATAGAGTAATGAGTCAATTGGATTTTAAATGACCCTACCCCAGGGCCTGTACTTCACACAGCAAATCTTGGGATTTGACCTGCAGGTGCATCTTTTGAGTAGAAGAACTTCATATGACCTCTTAAAAAAAAATAAAAAAAAAAAGCTAGGAATGAAAGATCCCAAAGAGATCAGGTGCCTTACTTGTTTGCATGTTTTCATGACCTGTTGCTGCTGCTTTCTAAACACGTGGGAGCTGGTCATCCTCTGGGAACTCACAATTACTAACTCATTTAACCCTCACACAAAAGCCCAGTAGGGTGTATTATTATCATTTTCCACATAAGGAATCTGAGGGTCAGAGTGATGATGCATTATGCCCAAATCGCACTGCTGGTTAAGCAGATCTGAGACTCAAACTGAGGTAGGTCTGCTTGATTTCAACATCTACCCTCTATTTCTCTGCCATGGGTCCTTCACTTCTGCTGCATGGAGTCCCCTATTTCAATTTCCCATCTCCCAAAATGGTAAAAGCTGGAGACTTTCCTCTTTTATCCCTGCTCAAAAGTCCTAAGCCCCAATCCCAGCCCCTCATTTACTCCAAGAGCTGCAAGCCACCTCCTTAAAGTGTCTTATGTTTTATTTTCCCACCTTTAAAGGGAGGCTACTATATCAGCCTATCACCATTGTATCCTGCCTGAAGCATAAGTACAGAGTATTTCAAACTGTACTCTTGTTTCCTCTATTTGGGGGAAGTTTAACCAAAGGGTTTTAAGAGATAACTCATTGAATTAGCATTTATGACCCACATCCTGAAGAACTCTCTGCTGAGATACTTAACACTTTTCTTTTTAAATGTCCATAGGAAGAGGTAGGTATTGGATCTGCTCACAGAGCTGTAGTTGCTGTTACTTAGTGAGCACTCATATTACACCAGGTAACATATTCAAGGTAGGAATGAGCAGGATTACAGGAAGTTGCTGGACATGAATAGCCAGATTAACTGAAAGACGGACCTGGACACTCACAGGAAGTTTCCCTATGAAAGTGAAACTTCCCGTACGTTCACATCGTTGGCTTAGGGTAGAGGGGAAAGAATGGGTTTGCTACCACCTGAATTTTGATAGATAAGGAAGCTTGAGTCAGACTGGGCACATGGTAGTTGGAACTACAAATCAAAGCTTTGCTGTTAAAAGGGAAGTGATTGCTGGTTTTTTAATGGGTTTTCCCAACTGAACACAGAAACTGATCTTCAATTACACTTGACTGCTTCTATAATGATAGCAAGTGAGACACAGAGAAAAAGAGATTGTTCTCCAGGGACATTTACTCTGAACACTTCATTATCCTGACTGAGGGGAACTGAGTAGGCAGAGAATGTTCTCCCATTGGGCCAAATTGTGAGGGGCAAGGACCTGCCATTTGTCACAACAAACTAAAAGACAATAGGGTGAAATGAAGGACCCTCATTTCCATGAACTTATTAACTCTTTCTCAAGGAAAGAGCCTAAGATAGTGTAACACTCCCTGAAGGTTCCATGCACACAATCACCCCCTTCCTTCTGGCTCCAGCACGTGTCCCAGGCATGCCCAGCAGACCCCGTGTTTAAGAAGCAGCCTCACTCTTTAGCAGCTAGACTTGGATCAGTCACACCTGGAGCTTCAGCTCTAACACACCAAGGAGATTTGATCCAGAAGAAAGCAGATGAGAGCCTCTAACCCTTCCTCCCCCTTGCTGAAATTCCTCTTTTCCCAGAACTAGCCCGGACTTCCTCCTAATTGTCTTTTAAAGGTGGGAATGGTAGGAGAATTTGATTAGAAGCTCCTTTGCAAATTCCCTGCTGCTTCTGAATTTTTGTCCCTAATCTCCCAGTCCCTCCAACACCAGTGTGGGATCTGCCTGATTCTGAGAATGCTAACACACCGCCTCCCCCCCCCCCCCCCCCCCCCCCCCCCCCCGCCCCGCCGGCCCGCCCAAAAGGGTTAGATTTTCCTACTGGGAACTGGCTTCCTCCCCCTTCCAGACTGAAAAGCATGAACACCAATTTTTAGACAAAGGGGTTCACAAGTGGTCTCATTCAATGTATGTACCACTCCTCCCCCCCAACTGTCTGTATCAGTATTTCGCCGATGAAGAACTGATGCTTAGAGAGGGTCAGGGGGTGTCCTCTGCCCCAGGAGCTATGGGTTTGTGATCAGTGGATCCTAAAAAGCCCCTTGCCCTGTTCTGCAGGTGAGGGCCAGCCCGGACGACCAGATGCGTTGCAGGCCTCCTACCCGACCTCCCCCCCCCCCCCCCCCCCCCCCCCCCGCTTTGGCGCCCGGGGAGATGTAGTGAAACTCCCATAAAGCTTGAAAGGTTCCGGCTTCCTTCCTGACACGGACCCAGGTGGAAAAAAACTTCATTCCCTCAGCGGCTTCGTGGTCGCCTGCTCCCACCACTGCTGCGGTGACCTCGCGTCCGCAGAGCGCCGTCCATGGCCCTGGAAACTGTTGTGTCCTGGAGCTGCGAATAAACCAGCAGGCAGGCCCCGGGGACACGCGGCTCCAACTGTCCGTCCAGCTAGCTGCAGGCCACGCGTTGCTTTCACTGCTAGAAAGGAGGCCTGGCAATCCTAGTTTTGCCCGGAAAGCGGAGGCGCTTTGATATTCCGGGTTTAAAGACGAGAGCATGGCCCAGGCGGCCAGCTCCCCCGCGGCTTGGCCAGCCTAGGTGCTAGTGCAGCTGGGCTGCTGGGGGGGCTCAACTTTGGCTGCTCCCCTGACCATAAATTAGTGGGCGCCTCCTCCCAAGGGTTCTCCGGGCCTCCTTCCCGCTCGCCTGCGCTCTCCGGGCCAGCAGTTCTGCAAATCCAAACCTCCAGACCCGTGTGCTAAGGGTCTGGGGTCTGCAGAACGATAAGCCGGATAGAGCTAAATGGGGTCGCGGCGATCCACACTCACCCCGCCTGATAACCCCACTTCCCCCGGGTCTCCGCGTCCATTCCCAAGGAGTCAGTTTTTCCTCTCCGGGATTGCTCTCCCTGTCGGCCACCTGCGTCTGTTGGGATGCCTCGGAAGGTCTCTACTCTTCGCATCCTCCTCCATCTCCTTCCAAGACCACCCTAACTTCTTCCAGATCTCCTATGAAACCCCGAAGGGCAGTTTCTTCTCTCCAGACTAAACCGGACCCGCAGCGGGTGGAAAAGCCCCGAAGCCTCCCACACTAGGCTGCAAACTACTTGCTTACCAAGTCCAAAGGTCAGCTAAAGTTTGGCTGATAAACAGAACCCGTACAAGAAGGTCTTCAGCCCCCCAGCGTGAGTACAATGGACCCTGGTAAGCCCTGCTCCCGGCCGGGGTCTCCAGCTCTCCGGTCTGCCCCTCATGCGCTCCCTCTCTCGTTTTTCCCCCCTCCCCACGACCATTTGCATCTTGCCGAAAGCCGGGCCCTCCCCACTAATTTGCATATCTTATATGGCCTAATGGTGGCGATCATGGCAAGTTAGAAATTTTCTGACTCCTCTCGGAGGAGACTCCGGGACCCCGGGGAGTAACAGGTGTCTGAAGGGTGGGGGGGTTCCTGGACTTGGGGTTCGCTTGTGAAACTCCCCTCCACCCTCCTGTCTCGCGCCCACCCAACTCCCCTCAGCCCCTTCTTTTTCTTTCCTTGGAAAATGGTGTCCAAGCTCACGTCGCTCCAGCAAGAACTCCTGAGCGCCCTGCTGAGCTCCGGGGTCACCAAGGAGGTGCTGGTCCAGGCCTTAGAAGAGTTGCTGCCATCCCCGAGTTTCGGGGTGAAGCTGGAGACGCTACCCCTGTCCCCCGGGAGCGGGGCCGACTCCGACACCAAGCCAGTCTTCCATACTCTCACGAACGGCCACGCCAAGGGCCGCCTGTCTGGGGACGAGGGTTCTGAGGACGGGGACGACTATGACACCCCTCCCATCCTCAAGGAGCTGCAGGCGCTCAACACCGAGGAGGCGGCGGAGCAACGGGCGGAGGTGGACCGGATGCTCAGGTAGGCGCGGGCCGAGGTGGAGGCCCTAGAACCCAGGGCTTGTGCCTGAGCGACGCCGCGTCCAACCCCTCTCGCCAAGCCTGTTTCCCACGAAGGAAGACCCCCGGGGGGCGCTCCGCTTCTCTCCCAACACCTGGACCCCTCCCAGTACCTCAGTCGGAGGGCCCTGAATCCTGAGGCTCCCTCTCCCCCTGCCCAGGCCAGCGCTCGGGACCGAGGGGCCCTCCCGGCCTGGGAGAACCGGAGCTGCGGAGCCCTTTGCGGAAGGGTTGCGCGCCCTACTGAAGGTACGGGTGGGTGCAATGAGGCAGTGGCCATTTCCCAGAGCAGAGGCTCGGGCCCGCACAAGTCCCAGGCCGAGCGTTTCCCCCGGGCCAGCCTCCTCCCCGATCCCGGGAAACGCAGGCCGGCCTCAGGCGCCCTGTCCTGCCGTTCTTTGCAGAGGGCCTGGGGACCCCCGGAGCCGGGACCCGGCGGGGCCAATTCTTTAGCGGGCACTCCCATCTGCAGCGCCCATGCAAGACCCCAGGATTATCCGGAATCCCCAAAGCCAGTTCAGATTTGCAAAAGGAAATGTTTGAGTGTTGCAGGGCCGGGGCTCACCCGCACGGGGCAAAAGAATCACGTATCTAAGCAAGCCGGCGACAAATTCGGCTGAGATAGCATTTGCAGAGGATTTGGTCTCATACTGAGAAATAAGGGCGTCTCCAGATCTCGCCCCGGACATCCCGGCGTCCCGGGGAATTCAGGCAGGCTGGGATCCTTTGCTGGGCCTCTCCGACCCGCCGAGGGCTTTGACAGCTGGTTACTAATTATCCAAGGAGCCCAGCGGTTCCCTTAGACCGCACGTCTCTCTCGGCCGCTCGGCTCGAGGACCGAGCCCCTCGCGTGGCCTCGGACACTTGAACGCCGCGGTTTCAAGGCAGGGACCAGGACCAAAGTCGCGCCCCGATTCAATCAGGCAGCCTCAGTCGTGAGAGCAGCAGTTTGGGGTGGGATGTGACCTTGTATTTGAATTTGCGATCTGGGGACTCAGCGGCTTACTCTCTAGCAAAGACGCTGGGGGATTTCTAGATTTTCCCCCCAAAAGTATTTGGCTATTCGTAGGTTTGAGGTTCTTGCCTCGCAGTTTCCCCCGAGCGGCGGCGGTTTCTCCCCTGCCGGATTCGGGCGCAGGAAGGTGAGGAGTCGGAAGAGGAGCAGCTGGGGCTCTGGGGCGGTCGGGCGATCTAACCGAGCTCCCGCTGCCTGCCACCGGCAGCCCGCGGGGCCCAGGCCCGTCTACCTGGCCGCAAGCAGCCGTCTTCTAGCCGGTCTCTGGGAGGATTTGGGCAGCACGAGGCGACCCAGGGCCCCCTCCGCACCCAGCCCCGCGCTGGGCTGGACGCAGCAGAGATGTAACATAAACGGCAGCACGTGGAGTTGGGGTGTTATTAATTTATTTCTATAAATCATCAACAGAAAGATACACAGAGTCGCGATTAGGTTGAAAAGAGAGGCGGGTTATTCATTGGTGAAGTTGTAAACGCTGCTTAGACGGGGAAGGAAATCCAAACGCCGACGTGGGTCGGCTCGCCGCTGCCCTCGCGCACGCTCGGCCCTGCGGGGCGCTCCCGGCCAACCCCCGGCGCCGGACCTCGGTTGCCCCCGCGGCCCCCGCCGACCCGGGGCCGCGCGCGCCTGCAAGCCCTGCGCGAGCCTCGACCCTCTGCCCTCCGCCCAGCGCTTGGCTCCAGCGGGGCGGGGAGGGAGGCGAGGGGCCGACCCCCTCACCCGGGTAGAGGCGCAGGACAGACCCAAGGTTTTTCCCCCTTTCCCAGGCGAGCGCCACCTTCCCTCCCCCCATCTTCGGGAGTGCTCAGACTTTATTAAAGTAATTTTTCAAGAAATTGCAAGCGGTTCCCAGGTCACTGAACGGTCGGCTTCTGAGCACTCCCTTTTTTGCCCACCCTGTTCTCCTAAAGCTGAGAGAACAGAATTAAATTCACTTTTTGTACTGCCTGGACGCTCTTTATACCTCCTAGAAAGGAAAGGAGAGAAGTGAAGTTCCGGGAGTGCGCGCCGCCCAGCCCCGGGACCCGGGCTCTCGGCTCGGAGCCGCCAGGTTCGCAGGCCTCTGTCCTGGGGCGCCTGCCGCGTTTGCAAAGTGGGCTGCTCCCTGAGGAAGCCAGAGTCGAAGCTTCTTAAGGAACGCGCGGTGAACCGTGCTGGGCTTTTCTCCTCGTGGGCAGCAAAGTCACTGTTCGGAAGGAGCGTGCTGGGCCCCACTGGGGTCGAACGTTTGACACCTGCGCCCTGAGCGCAGTGGTCACTTGTGCTTCTCCGGATCCGTGTATTTGTCGGGCTCTGGAACCCCTCATTATAAGCTGTATTTTCAAATGAACAAGCATAATGAGCTCTCTGGGCGCTTCCCGGTGAACACAGGTGAATTCTGTGATTAGAGAGCTGGAAAGGTATAAATAACTGCGCCATCTTACCCCTGATTCTAGTCCTTAGATACGGCCTTAAAAGTTTGCTACTTTGCAAGGTTTCCTTGGACCTTTTTTTTTTTAACCTTCCCAATTGTTAAGATAATTATTCTTTCCACAGAAACCTCCGCTCTAAAGAACATTACACTACTATGCTAGCTTTCTTAGACACACGAAATGAACACAGGTGAAGAAATTTGAACCAAACGAAAATAGTCAAAGAATCTGTTAAAGCGATATCAACTTTGAAAATCCACTTTTTCTAACTTTCGAAGCAATTGTATTTGTTGGAAGTGTTTTTCCACCCTAAAACCATCTGTGGAAATACTTGTCAGAAGTAAGCTTTTAACGTGATCGCTGGTGTTTATACAGGTATATGCATTCCACCGACCTATTACACTACTTTTACTCAAGGTGAATTTTGCATGTGTGAAACTGGAATGTGTTTTCACATTTTTTGTTCTTGTTGTTAGTTTCTTGTGTTTCATTACTTGGACATAGCTTTATAAATACTCGCGAAATGTATTAACTTATATATGATTGATCTTAAAAGTTTGTCTTTCCCAAAAATATCCCTACCAAAGTCTATGATCCTGTGAATTTAATATCAGACTTGTTAATATAGCCACAATTATTCAAATGCTTACAAAATAGTTTAATTACTAGGATTTTAAGTTCATCAAACAAAAACTAATTTTATTTGACATATGATAAGCACCATTTAGAAATGAATTGACTAATTTACAACCCTACCCGTTTTATCCTCTGCTTTATACGTTCTTTATTGTTTGGGATGAAACAAATTTTTCCCTTTTTTCTTTTCATGTTCTATGAGGCTACTTTACACATCGGCATATAGTAAAAGGGTGCTGGGTCTTTTTTTTTTTTAATTAAATATAGAGCTGTATTAAACACACAGTGTACGTGATGTATTGCATTAATACTTTTGTTCTATACTTTGCCTCATTTCTTAATTTCTTGTTTTAAATGATATCTCTCACTTTTAAGTCAATAAGCAATGAAAGATAGTAGCAAAGTTGAAAACACCTTAAACAAATACAATTCAAAGGCACTGGTACATTGCTGTAAAATTGCTTATGTATACCTGTGTTTATGAGAAATGAAAAGTATAAATAAGTTTATCCCAAGCTTGAAATTTATGAAAGACATTGCCTTCCAGAAACTCTTACCCAATCAGGGTAGAACTGCAAGAATACAGGAAACCATCGCATTTGGGATGGTTAATATCTCATTCAGAAACTGAAAATATTCCCACTCTGTTTCATCTGAGAGGTGGGGCTCTGGTGACTTTTTTTTTTTTTAACTTGGCTCATCTCACTGGAGCAATTCTTCACTCCAGGAGGAACATCATTGTATTTCTTAAAACTTTTCTGAAACTGTTTAGCATTTGCCCAAGAAGTTCTTCTTGCTTCTCAAGAGACAAGCACACATGTTTCACTCCACTCTCGTAAGCTAGGAAACTGAGACACCCATTCAGAAAGGAAATAAGGTAGAAAAGGTCTAGCATCAAAACTGATGCTGCCCCCCTATCATTGCAGGATCAATGTCCCTGAGCTAATGGCATCTCCACTTTCCAGACAGGGAAAATTCTTGCCTTCAAGCCTCTCACTTTCCAGGAAAATGAAGGAAGGCAAAATAAAATGGGAACGTTTCTTTCTGCTTAATGAGAAAGAGTGCAGGTGGTGCTGTCCCATCCTTAAGACAGGAGGTCCTCCTCACCTTTACCCTCCTGGTCTCACATGAAAGGAATGGAGTGTACTGTATAGAAGCTTTCATCTCCCTTTTTTCTAGGTTCTGTTTTGGCCTCCCCTCTCTCCCGAGGATGGAGAAATAGGTGAAGATCAAGGTTTTGCAAATAGTTTAGGTAAAACTCCTAAAAAGAGAATCTTTCTCCCCAGACATCTTCCATCAAATTCATAACCATCTGCTTATCTGTCTAGTGAGGACCCCTGGAGGGCTGCCAAAATGATAAAGGGCTACATGCAGCAACACAACATCCCCCAGAGGGAAGTGGTCGATGTCACAGGTCTGAACCAGTCACACCTCTCTCAGCATCTCAACAAGGGCACTCCCATGAAGACCCAGAAGCGAGCAGCCCTCTACACCTGGTACGTCCGAAAGCAACGGGAGATCCTCCGACGTAAGTGCTTTAATCCCCCCTGGACCTCAACCTGTGGTGACCTTTGCCCTGATTCTGACCCCTGTGGATTGCCTCAGTTTCCCCTTCCACAAGATGGCCTGCATAGCACTTGGCAAATATTAGGAAGCTTGTAGATGGATTTGGTTTCCATAATTATTGTACAATGGATTGGCTTTGATCATTTTCTTCTCCATGGTCCCTTATTACCTAGCCAGCTACCTTGACAAGTACTTTAGAGTATGCCTTGAATTTCCTGGTCCCTGCTTCCAACATCCTTCTCTTTGAAGCCAAGTAGGTCACAGTGGAATATTGTCTCCCAAGTCAGCCAAGCAACTACCCCTTGATATATAACCACAGATAAGAGTTTCCAAGGAAGATGTTTTGTAGCAATCAATAATATTGATCACTGTTCCTGTTCTCTCTTCCCTTTGGAGAGAATGTACAAAATTGAAGATATTTGTATATATAGATATATTCAGAACTCGACCCTGCTATTTGGGAGGGGGTTGCACTTGCATCCTGAAGCAACTTAAGGTGATTATTCACATTTACCAAAATCAGTAAAGCTTTGAGACTTGAGCTGGTGATGCTGTCTGATGAAGAAGCTTCTCTGGCTAAATCGGGACATAACACAAGTGTCTGCGTTTGGAACTCTGACTGATCAATACTTGTCATTTCCATCCCCATCCCCAAATCTCCTCTCTGTCCCAACATCTTTTCCACCTACTAATACCAAGAGATTTTTGTTTTGAAGTATTGGGAAGTTTGAACTGCATTTGAAAGATATTCTGTGTTTATTTTAGGACAGTGTACTTTTATTATCCTTTAATTATTTCAATCAGCCCTTTTCCTAGGAAAATTTTGTATGAGCTTCCACCCTTCCCATATACTATCCTCTGGGCCATGGTCTTCTCTGCCTTTGTTAAGATGCCAGTTTCCACCACCTTCTGGGTTGGATTTTTCTCCCCTCTCACTGGATGTCCACTTCTTAAAATCATTCTCATTTTCTGTCCTACACTGCTCTAAAGTGATTGTTTCAGTATTTATGATCTCAATGTCTGTGGGCTGGAAAGGCCTTCATGGTGGAAGGAAATGTTTCAGACCTCCATCTCCTGTTGTGGCTGCTTGTTGTAAGCGTTAAATGGATAGATTAGAAGAAGCAAAGCAGCATAGGAGAAGAGGCCCCTTTTAAACTCTGGGTTGATTCACTCCCCATGTTGACTAGGTCTTTAAGAATTTGTGTTTTTGACATGAAGCGACTCTCTGTAATTCCTGGAAAGGCAGAGAACATTCTCAGGAGCCAGAGTCTCCGAAGGCCAGGGAACCATTGGACCTGCCCTTGCTCCAATCCAAGCCCCATGTGGCATCTCCAGTTTGAGCTGCCTCTCTGTGCTCAATGGAAGTTCCCTCAGAAAGGAGAGGGAGACAGGAAAGGCCAGCTAGAAGCTTTGAAAAACACACACATCCTAGAAAGTTTTGCAACATGCTTGAAAAGAAACATTTTACAAAAACATATGACAGGCCCTGCCAGGGATTTTTTGAGTTATTGTTATTGCTGTTTTAAAGCCACATGAGACATAAACCTTAAGAAACTGTAAATACTATCTGAACATCGATTATGTGCCAAACACTGCTGGGCTGTGAAATACACAGGCCCTTTTCTCCAGGGAGTTACAACCCAATGGGGGAGATGATATGTTCAAGTCAATGACAGCTGCTTTCAAAAAGCTGTTATAAAGGTATACACAAGGGGTAGCAGAGGCACTGTTAAATTGCCTAGAGGCCTCACAGAAGGCTTCCTAGAGGAGGTGACATTGGAACCAATTCTTGAAGGATGAATACCAGACACATAAATGTGAGATAAAAATTAGGAATTGAGATGAATAAAAGAGGGACACAAGTGAATGGGGTGTGTGGAAGGAGAAAGAAATGGGAGAATTTGAAAAGATGACCCACTGGTGCACCTGGGTGTCTCAGTCGGTTAAGCATCCAACTCTTGATTTTGGCTTAGGTCGTGATCTGACCTCATGGTCAGAGATCAAGCCCTGAGTCAGGCTCTGCACTGATAGTGCTTGGGATTCTTTCCCTCTTTCTCTGCCCCTCCCTGCCCTCTCACAAATTAAAAAAACAAAACAAAAAAACAAAAAAAGTTTTAAAAAAAGATGACATAAATTTTTTTTAAAAAACTAAAACTAATAAGTGAAAATATTCATGGGCCCATCTACACATAGAGAATGTGCTTGTCCATGCTGGCTCCTGAGTCTATAAATAGGCTGTTGAAACCAGCTTCTTAAAGAATTTTTATGGGCAGTGAACATTTTCTGTCCTCTCACTTCCCGTCCTCCCCCCAACTTTAATCTAGAAGGAACTGAAGGAGAGGTGGTGGATTCTGCTTCTTCAAAAATTGTGAAGCTAGGGTCCTGAGGTGGGTAGAGCCTGGATGGTTCTGGACCCCCACAGGCAATGTATTGAGGCTGATTCTGGCACACACAGGTTTCTGAATATAGTGCCAGTGGCTGCCTCCTCAGAGGGCAGCCCCGCACTTCTGGATGACTGTGAGTGATCTTCACACCTATCACAGACAACAGTGGAGTCCATTGTATTACCTCCACCCAAGTCAGATTGCAAGGTTTTGGGGATGCATTGGTTGAGTTTTGTTTTTAGCAATAGGTGACGCATAGGCTGCTGATAAGGAAACTTCACGTCACATCTTTAGGCTGGGTTCACGTCCTGGCTCACATCATGCAACTTTGGGCAAGTTCTGTAACCAGTCTGAACCTCTATTTCTTCAGGTACAAAGTGGAGATAACCATACTTCTTGCATGTAGAGATTATAGGAATTAGATGAAGGGATACACTTAGAGGACCTTGTACAATACCCCAGCAAGGGAGCAGTTCAATAAGTGTTCATTGTTATCACATCTCTTCGTAGTACAGAAAGAGCCTTATATTGATCCTGGGTCCTTGGGATTATCCATACTGGCTTTTGGCTCTTACGGAGACTCCACAGGGCCACAGGGAGGAGAGAAGACCCTGAGCAGGGAACTTCTTTTTCCCTCTTATTGTCCCTGAAGTAAAGGCACTAGCTGGCTGCCATGAAGACCAAATGACATAAGAGGTATGAAAGCACTCTGAGAGATATAGCGTCCATAGGAATTTGGGTCCCCATCACCATCCTGACTAGAGGTAGATATTCTGAGAGACTGTTGAGTGCCCCTTAGGTGTTCACCCAGTCCCTTTCCACAGGCAGGGAAGCTGTGGAGTTGGAGGGATGGGGGACAGGATTAGGTAACTTGTCTGGGGCCCTCCAGTATCCAATGGAGGCAGTGGCTTCCTGCCAGTGTATTTGGCAAAGACTTTCTCAGGTATCTAAAACAATTGTTGGGAACCAGTGAAAACACAGCTGTAAGTGGCCTAAGAATCATCCAAAGTGGGTAGGGCCCAAATCAAAGGCCCCAATTACATGTTTGGTCCATCCACCCAGGAGACTGCTTGTAACTTGGCCAATCAGAAACCGGTTCAAACAAAGCTAAGTCCTGAGTCCAGGCTAGTTACAGGCCCACTGCTTCTGAGGATGGAACCAAATGGAAATGGATCCTTAGATTGGTAGTAAGTTCCCTGTTGCTGGAGGTGTGTGGACTGGAAGACTATGTGGTAGGGTGTTGTCAGGGGGATTCAAGCGTTAAATAGTGGCCCCAACTTTGAACCTTGGAGAATTTTGGATTGAGTTGCCTCTGAGATTGCCAGGAGGGACTCCAGGAACCAAGAAAGAAAAACATCAAGGTCCAGAACCTGGAGACCAGGAGTTAGGAAATGAATCTGTTATGTGTCCTTACTCAGCAGGGTGGTTGGCCTCTATGCTTATTCATCTGTAAAATGGAACTAATGACTCTTAACCCTGCTTCATGCAGATAGGAGGAGGACAATAACAAAGTTCGCCCACAACCAAATATCACATCTCAGTTAAACCATATAGGCTAGGGTGTCACCACTGGGTGAGCTTCCACCTTTTATTCATTCATTCATCCAAAAATGTATCGAGGGTCATTGTGGACCTGGATCCTTGGGAATTGGGTGGACAGGGAGCATCTACATTTATCTTTCTCCAACTCATTAAATGCCATTGCTAGAAAGGTCCTATGTCTATAGACTTCTGCATTTGCCATCTTTTAAATGTGTAGGCAGGTCTGTGAGATCTTCCCTCTTGGGCTGTTTCTCTCATAAATGGACCCTTGGACACACACACACACACACACACACACACACACACACACACACCATCACCTTTGAAATGATCTGAAATGAAAGCTTCTTCTCTTTCAAATATAAAACTCCAGTTCTATTTATTTCAAAGTTCTAGTCAACAGGTTTTGAGTCTTGGGTTTTTCTAAGAGCATCATAAGGTAGACACCTAGGATATATGAAGAGAGAGGGGAGGTGGGGAGAGCTGTTTTTAGTCTCTGAATATTTTTTCTAAGTGCAAATTGTACCTAGGAGCCCTTTCCCTCTACACCTGAGACTTGGTTGAGCCATCCTCTTGGACACCAAAACACAAGAGGTCAGGATTCAGAGGGCTGCTTCATGTCTGAGGGCCAGTGAGCCAAAGAAAACACATTACCACTAAAAACTATGGGTGGCCATATTTGAGCTCCTTCAAAGAAAGAAAAGGGGTGGCTTTGTGGGGTGGACTACGGTGGGCAGAGAGAGGCCTATTGTGAGGTTCCCCTCTGTACACCATGCCCCAAACATAATAACAGCAGATGGCAAAACTTCGGGGAGAGGAATAAAGGTGTTTTTGTCCGTCTGTCTGTCTGTCTGTCTGTCTGTGTGCCAAGTGAAGGCTACAGACCCTATCAAATCTACTCCTCTCTCTTTGCAGAATTCAACCAGACAGTCCAGAGTTCTGGAAATATGACAGACAAAAGCAGTCAGGATCAGCTGCTGTTTCTCTTTCCAGAGTTCAGTCAACAGAACCAGGGGCCTGGGCAGTCCGATGACGCCTGCTCTGAGCCCCCCAACAAGAAGATGCGTCGCAACCGGTTCAAATGGGGGCCCGCATCCCAGCAAATCTTGTACCAGGCCTACGACCGGCAAAAGAACCCCAGCAAGGAAGAGAGGGAGGCGTTAGTGGAGGAGTGCAACAGGTAACACCACCAGAAACTCGCTTGAGCAGGCAGGCAAGCACGTGGACCTGAGATCCATCCCCTCAGTCCCAGGATATTGAAGTACTGATTATCCAGCTAAGTGTGCCTCGTTTGGGGTTTCCCAATGTGTGTTCCATGGAACCCTGAATTCAAGTCATTACCAAATAAGTTTGAGAAACATCAGATGCATAATCCCTCTTGAGGAGTCATGGCATAAAGTAACATCTTAAAGATTCTGAGAAGGCCTAGAGGCAAGAGATTCACTTAGCTTTGTTGAATTGATTGCTAGCTGTGGAATCTTTTTTTCTGGGGGACATTTGCATCATCAGCTTTTTTGCAAGGAAGATACTCTGGAGAATCCTGGTCTAAAATATGCCAGTGAAATAAGAATCATGTGTCTGACTTCAATGCAGACCAGGGAAAAATCGTTGGTCCAAAAGGAAACTTGGCAGAAAAGAACTGGTCAGATCTGTCCAATCCACTCTGCCCACATGAACAGAGTTCTTTTGTTATCTTAACACTGCATGTAATTTTAAAGAAAACTATCAGAAATCCTTGGGATACCTTATTAATTAATTAATTAATTCATTCATTCATTCCTGCCATCCTCTGACTCCAACAATGACTTTCTTTTTTTTTTTTTTTTAAGTTTATTTATTTAAGAGAGAGAAAGAGAGAGAGAGAGAATATCCCAAGCAGGCTCCATACTGTCAGTATAGATCCCAATGTGGGACTTGAACTCATGAACGGTGAGATCATGACCAGAGCTGAAACCAGAGTCAGACACTTAACTGACTGAGCGTCCCAGGTGCCCCTCCAATATTGACTTTCTTAAAAGTCTGGTCTTTGCTCTGGCCAACACCTGTGGTCTCTCTCTGTTTCAGGGCTGGGCTGGCTCCAGCAAAGGATATGGTTGGGGAGGTCAGGCCAGGAAGGGGGAGGCAAAGCAGTCTGCTTGGAGTTGCTACAGAGTCCCCAGGCTGTACTCTGTCCCCCTGCTTATGAGAAGCTCCCTAGCATCCAACGGTGTCTAAAAGTCTCTCTGATATGCCAAGAGGCCCAGTCTGGACCTTCTCCCTGAATTACCTGCCTTTTGGCCACTCTCTTCTTGTCAGGAGCCACACCAGAGGCCTCTGCCCCTCACTTCCAGGGCCACAGAGCTTGTGCTGCACCTGTGTTGAGCCTTATTCCAGCCATGTCATCAGAGAATGACTACTACATGGGCTGGGCTTTTCTCAGGACCAGCTTTTCCCCAGGATCCAGCTCTATCCTTGGTCTTTTTATACCCCTAACTGAAACCACTGGGATTGTGTGTCTGGAGCCGAGCACCAGCAAGCCTCCCCCTGGCTGCCCTTACTCACCATCTCTCCCACTGTCCATCCTCAGGGCAGAATGTTTGCAGCGAGGTGTCTCCCCCTCCAAAGCCCATGGCCTGGGCTCCAACCTGGTCACTGAAGTCCGCGTCTACAACTGGTTTGCAAACCGCAGGAAGGAGGAGGCATTCCGCCAGAAGCTGGCCATGGATGCCTACAGTTCCAACCAGACACACAATCTGAATCCCCTGCTTTCCCACGGCTCTCCCCACCATCAGCCCAGCGCCTCTCCTCCAAATAAGCTGTCAGGTAAGCCTGGCCCAGGCCTCACTGCCTTGGCAACCCCACCATCCTGCTCTCCCCATGGGTCTTATCTGGATCAGGATTTTTCAGAGGAGGAAATGCTTTGGGATGGGGCTCAGGCTGGCCTCCCATTGCCAGGATGTTCTTGTGAAAACAGTGTTTGGCTGTGATCAGGTTTCCTCTGAGTCCTTGCTCAGCCTCTAGGGAGCCCCTCTCTCCAGTCTTCTCTGGTCCCCTTTCTTCTCCCTGTGTGGCTGCTGACTCAGCAAGTCAGTGCGGCTGTCAGATTAGACAGAGAGGCTGCCTTATTGGTATGCTAGGTCCACACTGCAGGCAGAGGGGTCACTTCCTCCACCCCGTCCATATCCTCCCCCAGGGCTCTGTCCAGCTCCAGCAGGAGGAGCCCAGGGGCCTCTCTGGAAGGGCCACTCTATTGACAGTTTCTGCTTGTTCTCTGCCAGAGTTTGGGTGGAAACAACCACTTAAAATCTTTGCGCAGATGGCCTTCTGGCCGATTCACATTGAGTACCTACTGTGTGCCGGCCTGGATTAGGATGCCTCTGTTGTGGGGTGTGGGTTTATCAGGGTGAAACCCCTATATGCTGAGTGCTGCAGCAGGCATAGTCTGAAGGCGCTTCTCCTCCTGAGGCTTAGTTCTTCCAGGAAAGCTGGCTTCCCAGAATTGGTTTGCTTACTGAGGCTGATGTGGTGCCCATGTAAAAAGAGTATGGCATCATCTCCCACCACTCTGGGGAAGGGCTTGCAAAAGTAGAGCCAACCACCATTTCCAACTCAGGGTTGGTTCTGAAGTCTGTTGTCCCCTTGCCTGCTGGTTGCTCCTCTGCTTGGAGAGCCCTGTCTAGGGCTGGCCTAAGTGTTGGGGGGCCCAGCCCGGGCAGTATCCAAGCTTTTGTTCCACTCTGTGCTCCCACCAGGATCTCTGGTAGCCTGAAACTGTCCAGCATGAAGCCTGGGCCAGGGCTTAGGGGCTTCTGTGGATCCAACTCCCACCGAAGGGAAAGGCTCAGCCACATAGGGAGAAAGTTGGGGTTACTCTTGAGAGATGGAGGAGCCCCTGATGGACACTGGCCTGATTGCAGAGTAACACAGTCCCTTAATGGAAATTCAAAGCAGGGTTCAGAGGGTAGTGGCAAACGGCATGTGACAAGCACTGAGCAAGACTGGAGCACTTGCCACCCGCAGTGATCCACGGAGCTGGCTCTGGAGCTGTGGGGGGCATTATTGAGGAGACAATGGCTATTGTGTTGGGACCTGTGATCTCCACACCAAAGTCAGGGAGCCTGCAAGCCAAACAAAGGCCCAGCAGCTTTCTGACAAGCTGGGGTTGTGGTGAGGTCACCACAGGGTCGTTAGCTTAGGCCTTATGTATATGGACAGGAGACAGATAGGGGCTGGAGGGACAGGGGCGGGTCCTGGAAACAGAGCAGGCTGGGTGGAAAATACAGTCCCAGAGCCATCTAAGTTGAGTCCAAGAAGTCATGGCCCACTGGGAGTGGGTTCTCAGGGTCTCCCCAGATATCGGCTTTTGAAACAATCATGGAATGCTAGAACTGGGCAGAACGTCAAGGAAGGAAACTGAGGCTCAAAAGAAGCAATGACTTGCCAAAGTTATACAGAGCGATGGTGGCATATAGGGCTAGAACTTGGGCCTGCTGTTTCCCACTCAATACAGCATAGATACATGCGTGTCCCTACCCACGGGAGCATATTGTGTCCTTGGGGAGACATCGTGCTGGTATGGAGGTCCCAGAACCATCTAGGGACTGAGGCTGTCTTTTAGGGCTTCGTGTGTCTTTCTAGGGAAAGATTCCTATTTATGGAGCAATAATTATGGGACATTGTATATTTTCAGTGGCTGTCCTTCCCCTCTGTGTTAATTTTCACTCAGGGCTCATCATGATATCCTTGTCCATGCCCAGGGAGTAGATTCTCTGGACTTAGTTTTGAATCCTGCATCTAGCCTGTAACTGAGTGTGACCCAGCCATGTAACTTCTCTGAGTCTAACTTTCCTGTCTGTAAGATCAATACCTTCCTCATCGGGTCCACATGAGGATTAAATGAGAGAATGTGTAAACACCATCTTTCCCAATAAACTGTAACCACTATCATTATCACTCATGGGATTAGCGCAGAGGGAAGAATGACAGGTAGCAGAAATCCATTTCCTTCTAAATTTCACACACTGGGGCATTATTCCGAAGAGGCAGTGACATGTGACCTGGCCCTGGGACTGGAAACAGAAGCGACCCCTGGGCTGGGGCCTGGGGTGCAGAATGCTGGCATGTGTGTCTATTCCCCTAGTCAGGTTGCCAGGGGGACACATGAGGTGTGAAGGGGCTGCTGGGGAATGCACCCAGGGCTAGGCTGACAGCAGGCTAGAGCCCAGCACTCAGAACGGGGTATGGTCTGTAGAGCCTCATGGTGCACTTCCTAACATGGGCCCCATGGCCAAGGTATTGCTCTCTAACCAAGCCCAGAATGTACATGGGTGTAGAATACAAAATAAGCTCTATGGTGGCCAAGGAGAAACCAACACCCAGAGTCAGCATCAGCACCAAGCACCCTCCAAGGCTAAGCTGGGGAGACAAGGCCCTGATCTCTCTCCCCTGCACTCCTTCCCCTCTGAACACCAGCCTCTGAGCCTGGAGGACTGGAGGCACTTTAGAGACAAACCTTTCCCTTGAACCTTCTTCGGGAGAGGAGAGCATCTCTTCCCTAATGAGCCACCTTCTCTCCTAGCCACTCTGGGTGTGTTGTGGCCCACTTGCCCATGGTGACCACAGTGTGACCCTGGTCCTGGAATGTCCAGCACAATAGGAGGGGCAGGAGGAGCACTTTGCCTCTGTCAGCGGCTGATTGGTTACAAGGTGCCCTACAAACACACTGTCAGCAGAATCAGCTGTTTTCGGCGTTGCCTCTCCCCGCTTTACAATCACACACCAGCATGCAGCCCAGGGTTGTCATGGCTTTGTCTCCCTTATGCATGCTTAATTGACAATTAAGTTGGGGCTTTGAAACAGCCTGGCTGCCGCTGATGGGCCTTCATCTTTCCAGTGAGTGTCACAGGGGCACCCTTTGTTTGCTCTTCTTGGGGGCCTGAAGTTACTGTAGCAGGCTGCAGGCAGCCATTTATCTTCAGCCTGGAAGGCCTTTATCTGCACCACCCCCCCAGCCCTGCTCTCGCCAGCAGGAGCTGTCCCTGGTTATAAGCCACATGACAGCCCATTCTGAGGCCATTGAGCAGGCCTGGAGTGATGGCCCCTACCTCCATTCTGGAGCGGAATCAAGAGAAAGGCCCCCAAAAGGTCAGAGAGCAGGGCTGTGGCAAGGAAGGGACTGGTTGGGGACAGGTGCTTGTATTGATTGGCTCGAGAAGGAGGAGGAAGTTGGCATAGAGTGAAAGCTGGGCTAGCCTTGGCCCAAGCCTTGGGATCCGGCTGCATGATCTGGTGACCTGGTTCACTGTACCCTTTACTCCAGACCACAGCTGCCTACGACAGCAAGAGAGGGGCAGAAGGTCCCCATCAGCCTTCCTTCAGCCCACACTGCACGTCCTCACTCTTACATCATCTTTTGGGAAGGAGAATAAGGCTCATTCTCCTGGAGGCCATCTGAAGCCCTTCCAGAAGAATTTTTGGGATACCCTGACTAATAGCTTCTTTAAATGGAGACTTTTTTTCTGTAGCTGTTTACTCCTGCGTCTCTTCAAACTCTCTTGCCCCTTTTCCAAGCCCAGTGGACTTGATGGTCAGATCAGAGCTTGAAACCCAGAAAATCCTGCTTGTGGCCTCTCACATGCCCTACCTAGTCACCCACGAGAGTCCAAAGACTGGGTCTTAGACAAACCAAACTCTGGGCCAGGATATCTGTGTGGTTCCTAGTATTTTCCCTGATTTCCCTGAAATCTGCAGGACCTAAGGACATCTCAAAAGTGCCCAACATAAGGGTTATGGCTCAATGTGAATAATCATAACAGCTAGTGTTGATTAAATACTTCCTGGGTCCCAGGCCCTGGGCTGAGCACCTCCACGCATCATCTTATCTAATACACATGACAACCTTGTAGGGTAGAAACTTTCTGTACCCATACCACCATTTTACAATCAATGAAGGTGAGATGTTTGGAACATAAATAATTTGCCCAAGTTCATATAGTTAGCAAGCAGCAGAGACAGGTTTGGAACTATTACATACTGATCATCTCTCTGCTTTATGCAGATGCTAAGAACTTTTTGGGCATGGAAACCACCACACACACACACACACACACACACACACACACACATACACACAAACACTCACGCACAATACCCCCACAGTCCCTTCTTCTCCCACATTCTTATTGCTCCCCTCTGAATGACAAAATATTTTAGGACAGTGTGGGCAAGGACAGGTGTCTCCAAGTCTGGCTGGTTTACTGCTTCCCCTGCACCAACTGTTGCCTCTGACCAAGGTAGATTCTGCACTCTGCCCAGGGAAGAGATGTGAGCCCCCTCTTTCACCACCCCATCCCCATCTGGGCAGGGATTTGAACTGCCCTTGCAGTCAGCACTGTCTGCACTAAATACCTTAACAACTTAATGGGGCTTCTGAGACAGCCAGGTCACCTCAGCTCACCTCTGGAGCTCCGCCCCCTCCCCCGGGTAGCAGACAAGGGGCGGGTTGGGGGGGGGGGGCATTTATTAGGGTAGTCGTAAAAATATTCATCTCCACAGCAAAGGTCCCCAGAGTAAATAAACCCTATTGTCCCAAAGTAGCAAATTATTTCAGTTCAGAAAAGAAACAAATGCCACCTTGAAACATCTGGTCTTTTAGGAAACACTTTGTACTGACTGGGAGTTTAGGGGTGGACCTGGCTCCAGTGTTCTCCTTCATAAGGACCTTATCTGACAGCCATTTTATCTGCTGAATTTGAAGGTCATTTTATCTTGCGGTACCACCCCATCGGCTGCCACTGGGTTGAGGAAGACAATCAGGATATTAA